ATAACACAGTAATTTTAATATGTATCTCTAGTGGATGTACCCTCTGGGCCCCCAAAATAATTGCAAAAATCTTAAACTATTTTCAATGACCATATGGTAGCACTGCTACTGTAATTCTGAGATTATTTTGTATGTACTGGGGACAAAGCAAATGAATTATTGTGCCTTATCGCTGGTCACCAAGATTTTTAGTATAGGAAGAAGGAGCTGCAAGATCAAAGGCTAAACAAAAACCTTGCGTACTGAATTTTAATTAGAAGTGTCAGCATGCACTCGTGATATATTTTACCTGTTAAATATATGATAAATAAATGTGCATGTATTTCCTAGTTCTGTCCACCAGAAAGACCCAGAAATAGTGACCAACCCAGTAGCAAATACCTCCACTGAGGTTTCCAAATGTCATTCCCCACTGAAAGAAACCAGGGCTTTTTGAAGAAACGGCTGATCGCAGATCAAGGCAGGAAATGTACAAAATAAACCTGGGATGTCGTGTCATGCCAGAAATCAGGGAAGTGTTAAGGACTATGCAGGTCATGTCAGAAGGACTCAAGAGCCAGTATGAAGAGGCTAAAGATGGGGACAATTTGAATATCAATAATAATAACTGCAAGTGATTAAAACGTGTCCAATTTGTTTAGTCCCATAAATTGAAAGTGATATATACTCCTCTTCTTTCCCCTCCAAACAGTCCCCACAAACAAATCTCACTGGTCACCTATGGAGGATGCTGGGTAACTACCTCTTTATTTGAAGATGGTAAATATCCTTCTATTCCCTGGCAAGCTGCATCTCAGGATTATCGAATGAGTGTTGAGGGAATTTTTCTAGCTACCACATAAAGAATGATACAATTCGAAAATAATCATTTTGCAATTCCAAATTATGAAATAATGAATCTAGGAAATAATCCGAATGAATGGGAATATCCAAAAGAGAGGGATAACTGAAGATTTTCTGTGCTTCTTAATAAACATATGTACTACCACCTATGGAGCATTTTCACAAAACAAACAAACAACAAAAAACCCCAGAACTTGAATCGGATTGAATCAGAATCTATCTAACTACCAAGTTACAAAAACTACAACAGAGAAACATGTTAAATATTACCATGGGGATTTAATCACCCAAATTTAGGCTGTTAGAGACTCTACAGGACAAAAACCAAATAGTTTCTTCAACAAATTATAATCAGAGAGAGGGAAAAAAAGAGAGAGAGACAGAGATAGACAGACATGTGGAAGGGAACCTATAGATTTAAAGAGAGTTAAGAGTCATAATGACTACTTATTGACAGTATGGACCTTATCTGAATTCTGGTTTAAACAACCTGTAAAAACACATAAACTCTCTAGACTTGATCCAATTAGGGACATCTGAACACTGATTGGATATTTAATTTTTTTTTAAGATTTATTGACTTATTCGAGAGAGAGGATGGCGAGAGAGAGCACAGCAGGGGGGAGGGGCAGAGGGCAGAGGGAGAAGCAGACTCCCCGCTGAGCAGGGGGCCCGATGCGAGGCTCAATCCCAGGACCCCAAGATCATGACCTGAGCCGAAGGCAGACGCTTAACTGACGGAGCCACCCAGGTGGCCCTGATTGGATATTTAATATCCATAAAAAATTATAGTTCAATTTTGGGGTATTATAATGATATTGTCATTATGGCTATAATAGGGAGTCGTACTTTTAGAGATACATACTGAAATATTTATGGATAAGATGATAAAATTACCATTGGGGACTGGTGTCAAAATAATCTGATAGGGAAGAAATGGGTAGCATATAGATAAAACAGATTGTCTGTGGGTTAATAGTTCTTTAAGCTGGGTGGTGGGTACTATTCTTTCTACCTGAATAATAGGGTGTTCAAAGAAATGAATTTAAATACGAGACTAAATGAAAGGAAGCTTGGCAATTATTCTGCAAAACCGCTAGGACTTGGCAAATGTCATGTGTATATCACAAGGTGGAATGCCAAGGCAAAAGCAAACGCATTCTGTGGGAGATTGAATGTTTATAGAATAGCGGTCATATCTATTCTAATTACTCCTTGCATGCCTCATTGGTAAGACAGGTTAGCGATTCCTATAAACGTCTCCCAACAAAGAGGAGACGGTCATCACGGGCCGGCTCTCTCAGGGGAGAGTACACCAAACATGATCCAGAAGCTGCTGCCCAGTGAGAAGGGGCTGTGGTGGCAGCAGCAGATGAGGTGGGAAGAGGCAGACCTCCAGATCTGGTCAGTGTGGTCGCAGGGAGACCGGTCCCTGTGGATATATGAACCCACAGGGTTCCAAGGCTCCCCCATGAACCTATACAAGTGAAGATGCATAAAGAATGACATGCTGTCAACAAAAATGGGAAAGAAACCCTTTGGTGGGAAACAAGACTAAAATCTTACAAAGCTTATTTTTGCCTGGCATCATTATATGTTGTCAGTAATAACATTAAAATCTCATTAAAAAAAAACAAAACCAATGCAAATATTTTTAAAGTAATTTTGAGGCCCATAAGGAGAGTACTACTCTAATGAGAGTAGCCTGAACTCTGAAACAAAGAGCAGGAGTTGTGAAAGAGAGACGTTCTGTATCTTAAAACGTAAAAGTAGGGTTGACACCCTACTAGTTATTCATGACGACATTATTTTACTTTTTTCCTTTTTGTCCCCATGAAAACCTGGAGTGTCTATCCATGCTTCTCAAGGAAGGAGTGCATATTTCACAGGACACAGGAAGGAGGTAAGTGCCACAATTTAAAGGTGACTCCAGGTGATTCTGATGTACATGGTGCCCCCAACTAGAGGACCACTCCCTTCTTGGAGGTCCCTGTAGGGTGGCTGGCTGAGGCCTGTGTGCAGTCAAAATGCATCTGAGATCATCAATATGGGAAGCTGACCATTGCTGTTTCAAATACCCCTTGAAACTAAGCAGAGCTGCCATGTCGGACAGAGGATAATGAAATCCCCCTGTGCTCCTCCACGACTCACGTTACCTCCCTGTCTGCCCAGCGTGGGGACAGCTCTGAGCTGTGAAGATGGTAGGAGGAGGGCCAGAGGGGATCCCACTGCAGGCCATCTACCAACGAGCGCACGTACATACCTGCCAGCCTGCCCCCCTGCTCCCATTCACGTGAGGGACGATGACAGGCAGATGACTGCGGTGCTCTCTGCAGTCAAACTTGGGAGCATCCCAGAAAAGGGCTTGAAGAAAAGTGTTTGACCAGAAACCAAACACACTTCCTGCAGCTCTGCAATCTTCTTTCATCCCCTGACATGCCCGAGACCATTACGGCTTCTGATAATGCTGACAAGCTCACTTTGGACAAAAAATGCAGACCAACAACAGCATCCCTCACTACAATGGATCCTGAGTTTCACCCTGTAATGGCTTCTCAGGCCAAACAGACCTGTTTCTTGGATAATTACAGTGTCCAATAAGAAGGGGACACTGACTGAAGTAGATGGTGCCTGCCATGTGGCAGGTTCCAGAATGCAGTGCGCTGGGCTGACATGAGTCGCTGAATGGCACCCGGGCTGTGACTGTGAAGGTGGCTGGGTTCCTAAGAGTCTCCTCAGTAAGGACACCCTTAACTACACAATCACATATGCAGCGGGGCCTACAGTTTATAACAGAGCATGGGTAGCCGGTGAAAAGATGTATTCTCGCCGCAGCCATCTATCGCCAAAATTCCACACAGCCCACGGAATTAAAAGCCTTGGTAATATCAGGTAATGCTTCAGCAGTGTTAACTTTCAAATTACTTAGAAGTCATAACAATGAGTAACATTTATATTTAATGGTAAAAGTTACATCCATAACAAAGGTAAAACCAAATTATTTATTTTAGCTGAGCTCTAAGATTTCTCTGTACGTTAGAATAATGGCTACTCCTGCCACTTGACTAACATTATTCTTCCAAATTTCCCTAAGTAAAGGATTACATTTAGGACATGGCAGGTCTTAAGGACATTTAGACTTATGACCATCCCAAGAAATAGTAAACATCTGCAAGTTACACTCATCTTTCCCATTCTAGTCATCACCGTGTTTTTAGGACATGTGTCAACATGCTATGTGTCCCAGCATGGAGTGGACCTTCGTAAAGACAAAAGAATTCTGTCTTAGGTATACCAAGGCAGGGACACCTGGACATACAGAGTCCCTTTTCAAAGAAGCTGCAGTAAAGACAGATTCGAGGATCTAGTCAGTCAAACCAGGATCTTCGCAGGAGGTATGTAAAAAGCCGTGGGCACGGCTAGGTGGGAAAAGCCACTCACGCTATCTAGAATGTCAAGACCTGGGCTGGACTGCACACAATGCCACACTAACACAACACAACAGAAAACAACCAAATAACAACTAAACCAAAATTTAAAATACTCTTCTGAAAGATCAGTCAGACAGTATTTCCCACAAGATAACTTGACTTTCACAATGACAATTCAGTAATTCTGGTCTTATTTAAATTACAGGTAGGCATTTTCTTGAGGCAAATTTGGCTGAACAGTGCAAATATGGACTGATGTGTCCATGAAAAGGAGACAGTCTCATAGTGAGCACCGTTCATATCCAATTAGAGGCCAAAATACCTCCATAGCCTTGGAAAGCAGGAGTGTTGGATCAATATTCTACAGACTTCTTCCCTGATCTTACCTACCATTAAATATAGAAAAGCCTTTTGTGTAAAAGGCTTTGCTGGACTATCATAAGCATTCCCCACATAGCAAATCTGAAATGCATCACTAGGACATTTTCAATTCTTAACTTCTAGTGTAATATTTATAGTCTTTTCTTTTATGTTTACTAGAATTATTATTTTGACTACTTCTAAAAATGTAAGACTTCCCCTATGTCACTCAGCCATAAAGCATTCAAATCAACCAGTTCTTAGTCAAGCTGATTAAAAGGTGGGTTAAGATGAGTTAATGGGGTAGCAAAATACTGAAGATAAAATATCAAACCATATATAAAAAAATATAATTGCAATACTTACCTATTAGCCCCTTCTCAAGAGTGAAGGTTTTGTTTGTAAACATACATTCAAAAGCCACAATGTGAAAAATCTTGTTCACTGTGTTGTGAGTCCCAACTATTCGAATATACCTGGGGGTAAAAAGAAACTCTGTTGAAGAAAATGAGCTTCCATCACAACCAATCCAAAGACAACAGAATAAGATACATTGTGCAAATATACAGTGTACCAGGGCATGGACTAAAGGAGACTCTGAACTTGACTTCAGAACCTCTACCTGCTCCTTAGGGCTAGCTCCAACTGAGCCTAGAAGAATTACAGCAAAATTAGGGAGATACCACTTTCCGAAGAATTAAGCAGAACTTAGATCTGATTTACCTAGAAAATTAAACCAGGTACCGTTCAAGCTCAACCCCTGAATGTCAGTATAATTATATGTCCATGAGACATTCATGCTGGAGAATCACAGCTTCTGTCTTTGCCTTGGGGTTAGGAATGTGCCTGTGCCCAGGTACACCAACACTCGCCAAATCAAATGTTTTCCAACTCAGGAAAGATTTCATCCATTGGAGACAAATGCATGAAATCAATACTACCTTCTTACTTAACAGAAAAATCCACAGAAACCACTAAAAACCACTCACAGTTTTTTATATTTCAACACTGCTTCTAAATCCTTGTAGAAAGTTAACCCTATATACTTACACCAGCCCCGCCCCCCGCCACCTCTACCCCCTCCAAGTTGACTGCTGGGAAGCCTCCTGACCAGAGGAAGTGATCTGCAGAGGTGACCCAGCCTGCTCTGCAGCCTCCCTCCTGGCCACACGGATCTGACATCTGCACACAATGCAGGGTTTCACGGGGCAGGTCTTGAGCATCCCGGCCTGTTCACCCTCTGTATCTCCCTGGAGGCTTCACATCCGACAAACAAGCATTAACCCTGGAATGACTTGTTCCTTTCACTCTCCAAAGGGACCCGACAGCTCACAGGTTAATGGACAAACTCATTCTTCTGAGTGTCACAGAAATCCCTGGGGAATGTGCCACACATCGTCTTACTGGGATTCAAAGGAAGAACCGGAAAAAATAACTAGATTAAGTGATAACACTCTCCCAAATTATGAGCTATGTGCTCTGAAGGATGGGGCATATTAAATGAACACATTTCAATTAGGAGATGACAGACTGGGCAAGGTTTTAGTAATATCCTTCCTCTGCTGTGTAAAACCACCTTCGACTTCGATGATACAATTTTACTTCTGAGTTAATCGCTGTTCACTAATTCGGTAATTCCCTTACATTTCTCATCACTCCAAGTTAACTGTGTAATGTAAATGCCAATTTAAAAAAAAATTCACATTACAGAGACTATACTTGGGGTTCTTATGTCATGAGCCATTTTCCCTCCTGTTCCTTCAAGCATGAATCTCACGGCATTCCCGGTGCACCTCATTTAGCCATCTGCTCCTTGACATGAGCTGGTCACTCATCTTCATAACCAATCTAAATGCTATCTTCTGGACTGGCTGTTCAGCGTGCCCATGCCCACTGCAGGGAGACACCAATCTTCCTGTATGGAGAGTCAGGGCGATGGCTGCGCTCATCAGAGCCCTCTGATTAAGCCTGAGCTGTCCTCTTGGGCCCTCAAGGCAGACAGAAGGTACTGATGCTACTGTGTTTGGGTGGGTAGGTGGGGTTCGAGTACAGTAAGTTCTAAATGGTGTGCGAGGAACGGGAATTGTGCTGGTCTTTCCCATTGGCAGGGACAGTCTCTATAGACTTTCTGGAAGGGAAGGGGTGTGTTAAGCCTGGCACATTGGCCTGAACCTAATTTTGTCCATTTCCTTAAACCCACGGGAACGTAACCAGCATAGCATTTTCAACTGCTCATGGTCGTGACAGCCTGAGTGCTGCTGTCTGTAACCTTGGAGGGAATCGAGGGAATGTGGTTTGGGGAATTTGATCAGATCATTTTCCTTTTCCCTAGGTAGAGTCTCCACCAAAGGAGAGGCAGCTCTCCTAATACTGTGCAAGGGAGAGGAGCCAGGAAGCAACCGCGAAGGCCCTTCCCCATTGGCAGTTCTTAAGGTTAATAGTCCAGGCTGACTTAAGGGGACGCAGTCATGTTCCCTCCCTCCCTTTCTTCCTTTTTATAAAAAAACGTTATACGGAACCAGGTTCTCCAACTTTAGATAATAGTCATTTCCCAAATTTAACCCTGGTGCAAATATCAAAAGTGGGAGAAAATATGCAACCTTTCCCTCCTCCATCCCCCAATTGTAAGAAACTGAAAACAGAAAATTGTACTGGAATACATTTTACAGCCTTAATGATAGTGCTTGTGATAACAAACAAGATAATATATATGGTTGGAAAAGCACTGAGAGATGCCTCCAGATAAAAAGTTCTCTATGAATGAAGATAATGTTATCTCTGCTGCATAATCCTGAGGTCAAATTAGCAATTCGCCACTGTACATCACACTTCTTGATTAGCCTGTTACACGTAAATGCTCATAACAAGTTTAATTATTCTGGTCCTACAATACTTTCTAAGTCTCCTCAAAATTATAGCATAATTTACAAAAATGGCATGAAGTCCTTATTCAAATACACATTCTAAAAAAAATGGTAACAAAGTCACGAGAAAGACACTATGTTCCTCTTTCCCAGCGAGGAGTGGTTTAGCACAGGACTCCTTTCTTCACTAAAGATCTGCACTGGAAGTAGAAAATAGGCTTCCACTAATCCCCCAACTTTAGTGACCAGTAGGGGAACCTGGAGCTCTACACCGAGAACTCAGAGGCCTGGACCCAAGAGCAGTGAGCTAGAGGGAGAGGGGCAAGCACGGACTCCAGCCCTGACGAAGAGCAGGGTTCTCTCACAATGGAGCATCCCTGAGGCAGAGGAGAAGTTTTTATTACCCGAGCTGTTGAAAATCCAAGGGATGGGGATGGGGATGGGAAGAGGGTCCTCTCTTTTTCACTTTTTAAAATAATTTTTTTATTAACTGTATAAGGTATTATTTGTCTCAGGGTACAGGTCTGTGATCCATCAGTCTTACACGAATTCACAGCGGTCACCATAGCACATACCCTCTTTTTTTTTTTTTTTTGAAAAACAAAGCATAACTCGCTTCTGGGTCATAACACCTAAATAGGAGTAGATCTCACATTTTCTCTGCCACCAAAGATTCTGAATAAGGGGGAGAGCTTGAGATGAATTTTTTTTTCTCCATTCAGCATCATCTCTCCAAAGCACAGTCAGACTCTGATTTAACCTGATAATAAGGGCAGCGGCAGCTAGTGACTTCATCAGTGTGCAGAGAGGGGCACTGCTGAAGAATAGAGCAGCCCTCCTTTGTTCTCTCTGATCCTCAACAGCAGCTCAGACAGTTGGAAGATAATTAAAACTTAAACAGCGCTGAGGAAGGCAGCTACGCAACAGATTGGCCATTTCTGAGGAGGCTGAATGCTGTCCACATGAGCCCTCGTGGGAACTGTCTGTTCCTAATATTCTCCTCCCTTCCCTGTGTTGCTTGTCTTCTTGTCACTGACAGAGACCGGATCCTGCACATAGTTCACAACAGGATGTTTCAAGGCAGAAGTTTTCAGGAGCTGTAATATTGTGGGTGAAAAGAGATTCTGTCTTCTTTAATGAAATGAAACCTAAAACCTTCAGGACAGCACTCTAAAACTGAAAGGCACGACAGAGTTTTGAAGAGCGTGCTTTGGAGGCTAACAGACAGGTTTGTCACCCAGCCCCATCACTTAATTAGCTCTGTCACTTTGGACAAAAAAAAAAAGCCTTAAACCTCTTAAACCTCAGTTTTCTTCTCTATAAAATGAGGTCAATAACACAAACCTTATAAGATATTTAGATGATATAAGAATTTAAAGTGTTTAATGCAGTGCTTGGCAGAGGAGGATATGATTAAACAGAAATTCAAGGAGTAGGTCACTGGATGCAAAATTTCTTGGGTGGGACTCTGAGAATGCTGGTTGTCTGGAAGAGTATTCCTAACTGTAGATGTTAATACGGTGCATCCAGGAGGAGGCAGGCCCACCCAGGGGCAGACTTCGAGAACACAGGCAGGGTCCTGTCCTTCCTCCTCGGGCACCATGGTAGAGGCACTATGCCCACAGAAGGAGACTATATTCGGACTGCAGATCCCCTGGCTCTATGGTATTTCCTTCTTTAAGCTTCTAGTCTCTAGAAAAGTCTATTTAAAATGTTCTTGACCTGACTCAACCATACATGAAGAAGCAAGAAAAGAATCTTTTGCCCATATTTGGTCTAGATACCCATACCCACAGAAGAGTTTCTTTTTTGTGCAAACCCTAGAAGTTTGCAGTTTTAGTTCATAAGAAAAATACATTAGCATTTCCTAACAGAGAGACATCATAATACTGTGACCTAGAGGAATGTTGCTTTAAAGATGTCATTGCATTCCCCACCTGTTCTGGGAAATGTACAGATTCCCATCCTTAGCCTATCTTTCTGTCATTTCTTGTCAGAATGCTACCAGATTTGATTTCTAAGTCACATAGGACACATTTTTCACATACTAAGGGAAGTACAGAAAAGGAGAAAGTACAGAGAAATAACAACGTGTACATTCCCACTTTAAATCCTTTGGTATTCTCTAGTCTTTAGTTCTGGTGGACCACAAGGCTACTTGAGGTTAGAGTTAACCCTTAACCTTTGGCTCTAGTTATAGGCTCACCCATGTCTGTACTGAGCGGGTTCTACTCCAAGATAAAACTGAATTCAGTAAGAAATATTTAAATGAGCTCTCAAGGGATCATCTGAAGTCTAAATCCATCAGAATTCTATTCTTTGGTAAACAAAGTTTTATTCTCAAAGTGAACTTCATATTCTTGGGTTAAACAAAAACTCTTGAGGAAACTAGATTACCCTGAGATTGTGCGCAAGGGCTCCTTAACATTTTGGCTCTTCCTCTGAGGTAGCTAGAGAACTCTGCTGTGGCCAGATGTGGTCCTCCAGCGAGATCCTTAGCTCCAGCATTTTCTAGGGACTTGCGACTGTGTGGGGTCTGGATTCACTTCCAAGACTTCCTATTTGACTCTTGCTTTCAAGGAGATGCTAAGAATGTACATAAATAATTCCCT